CAGCCGCCAGCTCACCGCGGGCACAGCTTTCAAGAAGAAAACAGCCGCTGGCTGAACTTGTCCCTCCTCTTCCTCACCTCCCTGTCCTCAGGAAGGAGGAGAACAGGCAGAGGCCCCCCCGGCTGCCCCCAGCGCCCGGCCAGGCAGCCGCCAGCTCACCGCGGGCACAGCTTTCAAGAAGAAAACAGCCGCTGGCTGAACTTGTCCCTCCTCTTCCTCACCTCCCTGTCCTCAGGAAGGAGGAGAACAGGCAGAGGCCCCCCCGGCTGCCCCCAGCGCCCGGCCAGGTCTGCAGGAGGCAGCACCTCCCCGCCTTGGCGCTGGGCAACGGCGGGGACATCGGGTTCCACCCGAGCTGCGAGGACAGCACCAAAGCAGAGTGTCTGGCTTTAGAGCTCCCATTTTGTTCCCGTTTCCTTCCATTTCCCCTTGGTTTGCTGCAAGACTTAAGGATGGCCACTAGGCAGGCCTGAGACCCACTCCCACCTCTTCAGCTTCCGGCAATATTTACCCCATAAGGAACCGCGATGAGTAACGAACTGGCACAAAACCTCAGGCATCACTGGCAGTATTTAAAGCTTCTTCCCAGACATAGTCAGTTATCAACAAAATGGAAAAGATAATGTCACCAGAAGCAGGCGGGACTGACCCTAGATTCAGTTCAGCATAAGGTCCTGCAGTAATACTCCACGGGAGATTTCTGTTTAAACAGAGTTTTCCAGAGGAGAAAGGAAAAAAGAGGGGGAAAAAAAAAAAAAAAAAAAAAGAAAAAGCAACATCAAAAGCATGCAGTTTATTTCTGCAATGCCTGATGTTCATCGAGTCACACTTCAGTGCTCAGAGCCATGAAAACACTGCTTTTGAGGTGACATTTGTAGTTGCCTCATTACTCTTTTCAAAAGAGTTTTGCATCAAAGAGTCAGAGCTTCAAACAACAGGCCCTACAGGAGTAAAATAACTTATTAACAGCACATGAAACGGAATCGCCAGGAACCGCTGCTCCCAAAACAAGCGGGGCAAGCGTGTCAGCGACAGCCAGCCTGCGACAGCGGGCCGGCCGGCTGCCGGCCCCGACCGCTGCGGGAGGAGCCCTGACGAGGTGGGTGCTGTGCCCTGCCCTCCTCCTCGCAGGTGCTCTTCAGACCCTGGCCCTCCATTCACCTCCACCCCAACAGGAAGGATCCGGAAGCACGCCTACCTTCGTGTTCTTTTTCCGTTGTTCCAACTTTCTTTATCTTTTTGGGTGATTTCATGAAGAGCGGAAAGATGGTCCTCAGACCCAGAATGTCAACAAACTTGTGACAGTTGTCTGTGCCCTCCGGGCCAATCATGGCGTGGTCCAGCACCTTCAGGGCACTGCTGCGGGAGATCTTCTTCTCTCTGTGGAGAGAAAGAGGCAAGTCAAACTCTTCAGGGACATGAGGGGTTTTGGACGACCCTGCTGTAAAGAGACAGAGTGAAAAGGGAAGTACCAAGAGTCTCAGCACAAGCTCTAAGCAAGGTGTTCTTCGAGAAGCCAAAACATTCTATCGACAAATACTCTTTTCAAACCTGTGGCTGAGAATATTCTCTTGGTTATTTGTTTCTTAATGTATTTTTATTTTCTATTTTCTTTTTATTTCATTTCATTTTATGTATTTTATTTTATGGGTTTATTTCCTTATTTTTTATTTCTTGGCTATTGAAGAAGTTATTTCTGCACCACCTCACAAACACCAGCACAAAACGGCAGGGGAGACCGGGTTGGGTACACACGGCAAATACTGTCACACCAAAAAGATCAGCATTTAGATCTAGCAACAATTCAGCTTAATAAAGGAGTAAGTTTGGCAAGCATAGCTTGGTGGTCAGCTATGGTGGAGAAAATCCAACCTCCAGAAGTCACGTCTGGAAGGATGCAGATGGATTCTGGGCTATTCTGTTTTCATGTGAGTTCAGAACGCTGATGCTGGTACCTCACACCAATAACATACAGATGGTCTGGAAACGAGCTCCCAAGGTCCTGTACCTCTCAAATCAGAAACAGAGGAATTTATAATTCATCCAAGGGAAAATTTAAAATATCTCATGAAACGAGAACTGAAAAAGCTGTCGCTAAAACAGCCCATAAAACCAACAGACCAGGTAAACGTCAGCAGGAGCTAACGTGAGCTGCAGAACGAGAGCCCCCGGCGTCCCCAAAGGCCAGGCCAGCCCAGGAGGACGTTCTCCTCGGGGCAGGATGGTCCCAAGCCCCACCACCTTCCACCCCAAGCGCATGGCAATCTCCTGATTTTCTCTTCTCCAAGATAATTTATTCTCTAACAAATACCCAGCTACATGCACAGAGAGAAACACATCCCCCAGAAACCAGCTGTGCTCCTCCCCGGCGAGGCGGCGGGAGAACAGCTCTGACACACCCCAGCTGCACCGCGCTGCCACACGGCGCTCGGATGTCACCGCGGACCTGCCGTAAGGACCCAGCAAGATCAAACCACCGAGGCAGCTCAGTCCCTCTGTCTCCTCCGGGAGGTGGCAGCTCCCACCGCTCTCCCACTCCCCTCACTCGCTGCCGAACAACGCCGTGCGGGACCAGCCTGCCCGCCTGCCCACGGCGCCGGCTGGGCCGCCCGGGAGCTGGTCACCCCAGCGCCACGTCCGTCAGCAGCGTCTTCTCAAAGCCCAAGCTCCAGGGAGCTGTGGAAAACACCTTCCCTTCAAAGGCCCAACTTGGTGCAGCCCTGGCAACAGGCAAACTAAACCCGTGTATTAGCAGCCAGCCTAAAAAAGTGACTTTGCCCAGCGCGGCCGCGGGTGCCTCCGACGGGCACGAAGCGGCTGCTGGAAGCACCACGGGCGGCTGGGATCTGGTGCAGCAGCGAGCTCCTCCACGAGTGAAGGGCAGTGCAGGAGGGTGCCTCAACACCCCCACCTCCCCTCTACAGGGAGCTAAAAATAAAGTACTTCTTAGGCCAGACAATGTAAGAAATGTTTTCAGGGGAAGTAATTGCATATTGATCAGCATTTAGGAAGGCTGCACAGAGCTGATCTCTGGAATATTCATTTGGTTTAAGTTCAGGCTTTTAGAGATCAATAGCTGCTTGACTGGTCTGTCTAGAGTTGATTTTATTTGAAATATTTATTCTGCCAGAGGGCAAGCAGTTTATCTTTGTCTCATCTGTGCTTATTGAGGTAACTTTTAGCTGAACACTAATTCAGAGACAAGCATACGTGAGTATCACCCAACAGGAGTGACCTCAGCCTTCACAGGGAACTCTGCATCACAGCCTTACTGGCTAACCATCGTTTTCCTCCTTTTAATACCTTTACATCCAAGAGACGCTTCTGGTACATTTGCTATGTTGAAAAGAAGAGGTGCTAACATTATTTGGACTTTCCACAGTAGCAAAACACAATCTCTCACTTTCCAAAATACCAGCGAAAGCAGAACACTAGATATTTCCTGGAAAAGTGCTGCACAAAATGGCTCCGTTTAATTAACCAGAAGATTTACTAAAGAGACAGTCTAAGTTTCCACGGGGTCATTAGGAACAGCAGGACAAGAAAACATAAAAGGATTTTAATAATCATAAAAAATATACCCTGAAATAGCTACAGCCAAGCTTCAGGGAGCTGTACAGAGCGGTCTGATTTTGCTGTACAGGAGCAAACGCTTTTTTGAGGGTCAAGCAAAGCCACCAACAGCTGCAGAACAGAACACCGGGCTGGCCAAGGGACGTTTCCGTAAGCTCCCGTCGCTGCATTTGTCTGCGTGCATACCCATGCGCCTGCAGCTCATAACTGGGAAAGCCACACGTCATTTTGCCTATGCAACAGAGAATCTTCTTGACACATCCCCTGGGAAGCGAGTGGCGGCATCTCCTCCAAACCTTAACACAATTTTACAGCAAAAGCAATAAGCTTCCTGTCAGTGTGCGCCAGGGAACTGCCATTACAAGCCTGGTTTTCTCTTTTTTTTGGCTTTGCAAGGTAAACTGCATTTAGGTTACCAAGGCAAGGCTGAGGGACTGTGCACTAAAAAGTGCTCCTGACCTAAAAAAACATATTGAATTTAATTCTATGTGACATTTATAAACTTTCCACCGGCGACTACCGCCTTGACAAACCGTCTTATTTCTGATAACGACACTCCACAAAACAAACGAGGCTCCATCGCTGCAGAGATGCAAATCAGGTAATTATATGTAGACACCTGTGCTCCATCCCACTTCACAGCTTCCTACCGCCTGTCTGCTGCCACTGGCTCCGTCCTCCTCAGCCTGGATCTCCCCACTCCCCAGCCCCCTCTGCCCACCTCCCACCCCCGGCTGCGAGCCCAAGCCCACCGCGCCACGGCACGTCGGCCACGCCGCGCTCACGCGCCGGCGTCACCGCTGGCTCCCCACAAACCAGCACAAGTTCACACGGCACCACATCACCCCCCTTCGCTGCTGGCCGTGCGTTTTACAGCCCAGCACAACCCAGCACAACCCAGCACAACCCAGCACAACCCAGCACAACCCAGCAGCCCTGTTTCCATCACTGTCTGTAGGGATCCCCCGAGCACGGCGAACGCGCGGCTGACAGACGCTCCGCTTCTCCGCAGGTCTGTGCGCGTGACCGTTACGAAGAGAACAACGCGGCCAGATGCATCGGGCAGCACTGGATACAGAATGCTGTGTTCCCTAAGACAGTAACGGAGATTCAAGCCTGATATCTTTATTCTCACACAGCTTATCTATCTCACATCATGTCAATAAACTTTCAACTTTGCTTACTTGTCCTTTCATCCGCACAGACTGAGGTACAATGATTAACCGCCTTCAAAGTAAAAACCAAAAGTAACAGATGTCTCCCCACAGTCTTCAGAGGACACCGACAGGAGAGAAAAATATTGTGCCTTGTTTGTGGGCGAGGTGGTCAATCACAATTGAACGGTGTTTCTGTTCTTTGCTGTTTATCACGAAGGTAGGAAGAAGACACAGAAGTGTAACGCTCCCGGGCAGCTCTCTGGATCACCACTATCCAGGTTCACCCCCTACTTCCAATGCCAGCCTGCGGGTACCAAAGCAGTGCTGTCCCAGAAAAACTGAGCACCTGTAAGAGCTTTTGAGCACACGCCAAGAGAGCTCCCAACGATCACAGAGGTTAACAGAACGAAGAGCCCTTTAGTATCTCCTGGATATTAGCGTATGTGAAAAACCCAGCAGCAAACAAACGCCGAAACCTTGCAGCGTCAGCTCCCAGACACTCTGCTCTGTTTGGTGGTTTGAAAGCTACAGAAACGTGCTCTGTTTTCCTCACCAAGTGCTAAGGCCAGCAGAGCTTTCCACCTCCCATCACACCGCGAGCTGCAAAAGCAAGGAGCCCCCCTGGCAGCAGCCGAGCACACCCAGAGCTTCTCCTCCCAACGCAGGCACCTTCTCCCAGCACACATTCCCTGATCTCCATCACAAACCAGGGCTTTTACCTCAGGCTTCTCCAGCGCTCCCCACAGAGCACTCGGCTCTACATCACTCACTCTCTTACTACCGACAAGGCACAAAAGTGGAACCAAAGCTGGTTTTCAAGAGGTGCCAAGAGACGGCAGAGCTTAGCGCCGTGTGCCTGCGGTCTGGAGATCTGCCCTAACTACTTAAACAACTCACTGCAGCCGTGTCTGTCTCGCCCACCAGAGGCAAGCTTACAGCACCGCTAGGGAAACACCACACCCACCAACGGCAAAAGCCTCAGGACGGCACTGCGGCTCCGACCCGGCAGCCAGTCTGAAGTGCATGTGCTGAGAATCACCATTTCACGTGTTTTCGGTTACAGGCATGATCACCTGTGTCAGAACCCTGAGGTTTCATTCGATAAGAGTATTGAGACAAAAAAAAAGAAAACGGTGTAAATGGTGTATAAAAATGAACTGGCACCTCAGTAACACAGACAGCGTGAAATCCTAAGAAAAGCGGTTGGCAGCTCTTCAAAAGCGGAAAAACATGAATCAGCACTAAAAGTAACAGCTTAACGCTTTCAACTCTAGTCTGAAGACACTGTCAGAAGCAAGGAGTTTACTCTCTCTGTTCAACTAGGTGCTGCTCTCCCCAAATGAGATCTGCAATGTAGGACACGTCAGGGCCAGAAGGGAGCTGGTTTGGGGACAAGACTCAGCCAACTACCAACTCCCCGTTTGCTCAAACAGCCAGGTTGTTCTTACCTTTCCACTTATCTGAACTAGCTTAGAAGAGTTTAAAAAACCCCAGGCAATCACCTGTCAATACAGCCCACGGTTAGGGCCAGCAGTCATAGAAGCTTCTAGAAAATACACCGCGAATTGTTACTTCTTTCCATTGTCACTTCACCAATAATCCCTTTCAGACTCTAGAATAAGTCAGGTTCCTCAGAACCAAAAGACTGAGGTCTTGGACACTCCTTCCAGTAGACAGAGCTGCTGCTAGCAGTCAAGTCATGCTTTGTCCCTCCTAAACCCTCACAACTACAGGGTGGGAGCGAAATGCATCCAGGGAGAAATTTTCCTCGTGTCATAATTTTCCAGCTGGGATCCTGGTATGGAGAGTGGTAAACAGCGGAGTCCAAAATGGGGAAAAAGCTATTAAAATCCAAATGCTGAGTCCCACCCACACGGCACAAGAGCTCCAAGTAATTAGTTCTGCAAGGCTAGCTTAGCAGCTTAGTGCTCGAGGCAGAGGGAGGCTTCCCCCTCGTTCTTAGTTTTGGAGCTTTTCTTTCATTAGCCTCAAGAAAACCCAGTGTTCCCATTTGAATAATCCACGTTTGGTTATTTATTCGGTTCCCCGCTGCTGCGCAGTACCCAGCCGTGCGCTGCGGGAGGACATCGCTCCTTGTTGGCGCTGGCTCCCCAGCGCCGCACGCAGCCCGGCACACCGGGGCGAGCCGGGGAGAGCCCTGCTGCCGCCTGGGGTGAGCGGGCAGCGCGGCTGACACAGCCCAGCACCGGGCTAGGGAGGAAGAGCAGCGAGGGAGCAGGGAAGCCCCGGAGATTCTCGGTGTGGGAAAACACGTCTGAAGAAGAAACGCGTACTTATGCCCACTGCACAAAAGCAATTTTTGTATCAACATCCACAAAAATCCACCAGCTCAGAGGATACACGACACAGGGAAGCTTGAACTGGGGAACAAAAGGGAAAACGTTTTCCCTCGAGACATCCAAAGGTTCTCTCTCACCCTCATAGGGGCCTTTTAAATCCTCAGAGGATTAGCAGCCTGACCTACAGCACTGTTTCATCTGGGTGTTGGCCACACAGATCTGCACTGCTACTTTCCAGCAGCTATGGTAGCAACCCCAGTGCTTAGGAAACAAAGCTGAAGACAAAGAATGGAGCTTATACGCCTGCGAAGGTCCAACTCACATGCTGGAAAAAAGAAAAAGACAGACAAGTATGCCAGGACAGAGATCCTATAAATGGAAAGCCAGCAGCATCTAGCCAGAAGGTGTGCTGGTACATCAAAAGCAGGCCAAAAAAAAGTAAATCACAGAGTCATCCGGGTACCTAAGCATCAGATTCATCAGCTGTAGACCCTCGCCCTTCAGGAAGCGATCGCGATTGGAACTGAGCATGAGGCAGGAGCAGAGGGAGTCAAACAGGTTCTCCATCATTTCCTGTTCTTCTGCGGTACTAGGGTTGTGTCGTTTAAACACCTGCAGGACAAAGAAAACAGAATTACCCCAAGATGGAGGGCGCAATTTGGTCCACACTGTCGCAGAGCATTCACAAACATTTCACACCACAAGCCTGCAGCACCTGACAGGCAGGAGGCAGCAATCCCACCCGCCACTGATGCATTCTCGCCCCTAGCTCTGCCCGACCGTACCGCAAACCTGCAGCAGCCTGACGCAGGACGTCAGAGACCACCCAGGGCCTCAAAGGGAAAGGCAAATTCACCCGTTGTGCCCTTCACAAAACCATGTGGACAACCCCGTCACCAGAGAACTCCCGGGTGCCACGCGCACCTGAGGGTGCTGCAGGCAGGACCACCCCAAGAGACAGAAGTGCAGATGAACATGGCACCTTCAGCTCGCTCCGGCGGAGGCACGATGCAGCCCAGTGCTTGGAGCGGGGAAGGCCGGAGACGGCCAAATTCCAGCCCTGCCTACCTCCAACTCGCCATGCAGTTGTAACAGAACAATTTAACTACCGCATGCCTCAACGTTAACATCTTTAACACAGTGATGAACCCCACTTACTGCGGATGATACACTGGTGTGGAAGTTATTCGGGGCCTGTGCCACCACTAAACGTAAAGCCCCGCTGCATCTACAGGCTGCCAGGACAGCGCTACACCCAGAATCCGCTCCACCTCCCGACACCCAGCCTGCTGGCGGCAGAGAGGGCGTACGCGAATTACTCACAGATAACTGCTGAAGCAGCACATCGATCCCATCCAGCTCCCCAAGCAATTCTCTGTTGTCTAGACGGAGGTGGGGGGAAGGGGGAAAAAGAGAGAGAAAAATGAAGCTAACTGTCAGATTTTACAGCCATCTAACACTGATACATCAGCAAACAAAATCAATATGGCCTGACAGAGTACAAAAGCTGCAGAGAAAGAGAGGGTGCACACGCCTGCAAGAGAGCACAAGCACAAGGAACCCGAAGGCAGAGGAGTGCTGTTGTGATGCGAAAGCAGCCCGGATCCCACCCTAACAGACTATCGGTACCAGAGGCACGTCTCACCATCATTATTCTGGAGCAAAATGGCCAGCACCTCACTGCAGTACAGCTTGTTGGCATCGAAAGGCATCTTAGCCTGTTGGAGAAGATGAACAAGAGACCCGTCAGGACACGGCTCCCCGCGTTTCACTGAGCTGAAGAACACGTTAACCAAACCACAAGTGTACGAGCCACGCTCAAACCAAAATACAACCGCGGGAATTTTGCAGCACGCCTCAGTGACGGCCACTAGTGACTCTCCCCAGTTCAGGGGTGATGGGGGTGTGCGCTCGTGCACACCTGCGTAGAAACCCAGCTCTGGTCCCTCACGCTTCCTACGCAAGTTGGTTTGACCAAGTTGGCTCAAAGTCCCTGAGAACAGCCTCCAGTTGTTTGCAACACGGAATCTCTTTCCCGTGACAAGCTTTCCATGATGTTATAGGAGTGCGTGGGGCTTATGTCTATTCTGAAAGTCTGCACCTGCCACCAAAACCAGCATTTCAGAAAACACATCACAGTAACATTAAACAGTAACTGCCCCGGTTTTGTATGAGGATCACAACGTCAGAATCAGAAGAACATGAGATGGGCTTAGTCTGCACAGCCACTTAACTTCCATTTCATATATTCTCTCCATATTCATATAAGCTAAAAAAAAAAATCATAATGAAACCAAACTGCTGAATTTGAAGAAAAAAAAATCCTGAAGTGGGATTCTGAACTGGATGCAATGGTTTTGTGTGTGCCAAAGGTGCTTCATCGACAGAAACAGACCAAACGTTCACCGATGGGATACCACCACTGGTTTACTGAAGGAATTCATAAAATAAACAAAACCCTTCTAAAAATCATCAGTTACCACCTATTTGTATTGACTGTTCAAGAGGGGAAAAAAAAGCAAACAGTAAGTACTAGGCATAAAACACACCATTTGTCACCTGCGATTTTTTCCCCAAATGCACGACTACCTGCAGCTCGACTGAGGGAACCCGCCTGCGCAAGGCTGCACCTGGGCCAGTTATCCC